ACGTCTGATAGTTCTGAGTTATGTCATTCAAATATAACCATTCACGTGTGGTAGTTCTGAGTTATGTCATTCAAATATAACCATTCACGTGTGGTAGTTCTGAGTTATGTCATTCAAATATAACCATTCACGTGTGGTAGTTCTGAGTTATGTCATTCAAATATAACCATTCACATATGTGGTAATTGTGTTATGCTATTCAAGCATATTATCCGCTAAAATTATCCATTTCTAGTTTATCTATACACGTTAGTACATTTGTAAGTAGAAAAAATTAGAGATAATCTCAGTAAATATTTGCTTTAATGTGTGTAATACGACCAGTTGAAACCGGTTGTTTCTTTCGGCGCGAATGGTAAAACTATGTGGCAAGGATACAATAGCTATAATGTGAATCTACTGGATGACCCTGTACAAATAGATGCTTGATTAGATATCTCCAGTGTGGATGACCCATGGTGGGTGGGCAAACATTAAAGCAGCGTTGGTTGGTTGTCAATGTGTGTGTGTGTTCACATACACTCGTGCATTAGTCTGAAACACACAAAAATAGAAAACAAATAATTAGTTTACTACTCGAGATGATTTAAATATTGGAACATTCCCCTGTTGTGTTTCAAGCTTGGGCGGACATAACTGAGCTACCTAACCCTAACTCTGGGAAAAGAGCTGGTTAAAACTATTACATTATACGAATAGATTGTGGCATTACATAAGCTTTATAATGTTCGTGCAAGATTGTATCGAACGTAAACGTTACTGTTCGCCAGTTCTTGTGATTCATAGTAAAGTTAGTTCAAATAAAATAACGTTGTGTTATTAATTCTTCTTCTAAAAATCTGATTTGTAAAAGACAAAAATAAAAGCGAAGTCTTGAATGTTAAAGATCATGAACCCCACCATCCGTGAAACCGTTTACTGTTACAGTTTACGTACTGACAATCACCTCGCTAATGATACACAGTTTACATACTGACAGCCGTCTCGCTAATGATACATAGTTTACCTACTGACAACCACCTCGCTAATGATACATAGTTTACCTACTGACAACCACCTCGCTAATGATACATAGTTTACCTACTGACAACCGTCTCGCTAACGATACACAGTTTACCTACTGACAACCGTCTCGCTTATGATACACAGTTTACCTACTGACAACCGTCTCGCTAATGATACACAGTTTAGGTACTGACAACCACCTCGTTAACGATACACAGTTTACCTACTAAATCACGTGTTTGTAGCTTGTCGGTAATTGTGTATTCCAAGACTGCACATGTAATGTTCTTCGTTAATTAAAAAGATAGTTAAAATATGATGGAAACCTCATTAATTTACTATTAATATTTATATTGAAATAGCTATAATTAGGTTTACTGTGAACCTTTTAAGAACTGCGCAATCTCGATTCCACTATTGTACACTTCGTGACATACCAGGAGTTAATTGTTGTTATATGTTTAATAACCTTGACACCAGATGTCAGTTATTGTTACGACTATCGCCTAGATACAAATACGAAAGCAGTGTTCCACAGTTTAACGAATTTTGACGCTCAGTGCATTGTTGCCCGATGAAGGCCCGAAATAAAAGTATTTTAACGTAGAGAAAAGTCCGTTCATAATTCTAGATATTAGAAGTTAATGTATTGTGCTCAGGTATCTTGGGACTTACTTAAACTACATATATATATCAGAAAATGACACAATATTCTCACCATTTTGATAAAGAAATACATAATGTTTAACTCAGTGAAATGTCATATTTCATCCTTTATGCATATCTTGATAATATTATGCCATTTTCTGATTTCGAAACTAACTAAGAGTTGGTGACGAAGTCTAAGCGCGTTTACACTCTAACTCTAGTTCGTTGCACTGCGTACTTGAAAGAGAGCTATTGTGAAATAGGTGCTAACGGCGTTTTTCAAGAACACGTGCAGTACGTGAAAGCACTGCTTACAACAAAGTATTTTTCTATAAAAGAATGTGCGCGCGTCATTCCCTCGTGCTCCAATGGGTGAATAGTAATAAACTTTGTGTGTGTGTGTGTGTGTGTATAATTATACATCTGTGGCCGCTAGCGAAGTCTTTTTTTTTTAAGAACAAAATCAAAATGGGAATATATATTACAGCTGTAATCACGCCAAAATCGCGATATATATAGGTCATTGTCGTGTAGTAACAAACCTTATTTTAATTACCTCGATTTCTCTGAAATACTTTTTCCTAATACGTATTTACGTGTAGTCTTAGTCAAAATGCCTGAGGAAAGTGAGCCGTTAATAGAGTAAGCAAGAAAAATTTAAGTAAAACAAAAATAGAGCAGATTATAGCTATTTTCAAATCAAATAAAAAAATAAATAAAGCGTGACATTGATTTTTTTTTCTCGCGCGCCTCTTCGCGCGTGATTAAAGGGAAGGATTTGATAAATAGAATGTAATACTTATAACAACAGCAAAAACAAAAAAGACAAAGTACCAGTTCCCGATGGTACCGTATAGATGTTAAGGACATTTCATTAAGTGTGGATGAACACAAAAGAATCGTTTTTAAAAGAACTTTGACTTTTCACGTTTCGATGAAGCTTGAGAATTACAGGAGAATGCCCTACTCCTTGGTTCATCTTGTTATCACTATAAAAGGAGAGAGTTTCAGCAAGCAGCACATTCGCAACATCATCCAGTGCACCGATCGGGTACATCTGAAGAGTTTCTGAAGGTATTTTCGTCAACATGGCATCACAGGTAAGCCATACAGTCTTTGTTGTATCTTTAACGCTGCAAACCTGATTCTAAGCTAAATGGTTAAAGTTAAAGACAGGCTTTTGAAGTTTTTTCTGTATATCCACGTGAGAAAACGTGTGAGCGAAATAGTATCTCAAAGTATACTTAAACGTTTCCCTGAATGTTACATGTTTTCAAAATTCCAAAGTTTAATTTTACAGTTCATTTGGATTTAAGAAGTATAATAACTAAAGATAAATTAATTCATATGCTAAGCCTCTTACAACCGGTGAAGACCTCAGTAAGAGTCACAACCAGAGAAACCACTAACAAATAGATTTTACACCACCAATAGATGGTTTTTACCATGAGAGGAACCACAAATTGGTAGATTTTACCATGAAAGAAGCCACCTGTAGCAACCATCACCAGGGAAATGATTAACAGACACCATAATACATTTTGTTAATCACAAAACAACATAATGGGCTATCTGTGTTGCGTCAACAGCAAGGATCGAAACCAGATTTTTAGCATTGTAAGCTCTCACACGGAACTACCGGGGGGGCACCATAATAGAAGTAAAACAATAAAGCAAAATGTTTCCAATACATTACTAGCTGAAATATAAAAATATAATACTAAAATATATCCCAGTGGAGCAAGCATGCTTTTGGGTTCAATTTACTTTGCGGCAAATCTGTAAATGACTGCTACTTTTATGTAAGAAAATGTGCAATGAAAAGAATTATTAAGTGGGAAAATTTTCCTGAGAAAATCAAGAATATTATACCACATTTATTTATTTGGTTCAAAGTGTTTGTCATTATACCAGTGTACATCTTCAAGCTACATTGTTTCTTATTCCCTTGTTCTTTTAATGACGGCATTATCCGGAAATAAAGCTTTCTTTGTTAATGGTATAATTGTAACATGTATGAAAAATACCTTTTGATTTTTGTGAGATATCGGACTTTATTTTTTAAAATTTCTGTTGCCAATGGTTTCCCGGTGGGACAGCGGTAAGTCTACGGATTTACAACGCTAAAATCAGAGGTTTGATTCCCCCTCGGTGGACACGGCAGATAGGTTTTGCTATAAAAACACCCAAATGTTCGTATAATCTCTAAACTACCCAAATGCAGTCAATAAATCAAGAATATAACCTCCTAGCGGCGTCTTTGTGCAGTGTTACTTTTTGTGGATTTTTGTACGTGTATCAAACGCACAAAATCACGGAGTAACTATTCAATGATTTACTTGTCCTATCCAACTAATCGGTGATATATATATATATAATAAATGTAAAATTCAACATGATGTTTTCGTGATAGCATACAAGTCGCTTTAGGTCTCTCCTGGGGTATTTAAGAACATTTCTGTCACAATAATGGTGAACCTTTTAAATTAAAACATCTATGCATTGTTTTAGGGCTTCAATTGGCAATGTACTTCAACAGAGTTAGTCTCATTGTTTGAAGAAATGAAAGGACGAGTGCCAACGAAAGTTCTAATGACATTATTTATCCTAACCTATAGTTACTCCAACATTGTTATCCTAACCTATAAGTACTCCAACATTGTTATCCTAACTTATAGTTACTCCAACATTGTTATCCTAACCTATAAGTACTCCAACATTGTTATCCTAACTTATAGTTACTCCAACATTGTTATCCTAACCTATAGTTACTCCAACATTGTTATCCTAACCTATAGTTACTCCAACATTGTTATCCTAACATATAAGTACTCCAACATTGTTATCCTAACTTGTAGGTACTCCAACATTGTTATCCTAACCTATAGTTACTCCAACATTGTTATCCTAACTTGTAGCTACTCCAACATTGTTATCCTAACCTATAGTTACTCCAACATTGTTATCCTAACTTGTAGTTATTCCAACATTGTTATCCTAACTTGTAGCTACTCCAACATTGTTATCCTAACTTGTAGCTACTCCAACATTGTTATCCTAACTTGTAGCTACTCCAACATTGTTATCCTAACCTATAGTTACTCCAACATTGTTATCCTAACTTGTAGTTCCTCCAACATTGTTATCCTAGCTTGTAGTTACTCCAACAGTGTTATCCTAACTTGTAGTTACTCCAGCATTGTTATCCTAACTTGTAGTTACTCCAACATTGTTATCCTAACTTGTAGCTACTCTGACAAATAAGAAATATGAACATATCTTTCTAATAAAAGTTCAAAAGATGTTTCTTTTTTTTTCTACAGAGATCTAGCATCACACTGTTTATTCTTCTGGCAGCTGTAAGCCTTGTCATAGGTGGAGGATACGGAGGAGGTTATGGTGGCCATGGCGGAGGTGGTTACGGTGGAGGAGGATATGGTGGTGGACACGGAGGTGGTCATGGTGGCGGCGGATATGGTTATGGAGGGATTTATGGCATTCTCTGTCACTATCCAACTCACGTTACCGTAAAAACCCATGGTGGTTATGGAGGAGGCTATGGGGGAGGTCATGGAGGTGGCTATGGGGGAGGCCATGGAGGAGGCTACGGGGGAGGTCATGGAGGTGGCTACGGGGGAGGTTATGGGGGTGGCTATGGAGGTCACGGAGGAGGATATGGCGTTAAAATACCAATCTTTACTGTACTTGGTTATAGCAAGCATACTGGAGGAGGATACGGAGGAGGGGGATATGGAGGAGGGGGATACGGAGGAGGTGGATATGGAGGAGGTTACCACTGATAGCAGGCAATGATATTTTCTTCCTTCAGAAGATGATGATATAACACAGTTTTTACTTCACTACCTATTTCAGGCTCAACTTGTAAATACCATTTATAAGTTTTATGAACTACAGAGCTACGTGGGTACAGTTTTCATCCTTCAAAAGTTTTCATTACTATAAAAAAAACATCGGTCCCTGGCAGATCTTTCATTATATTATGGAATGTTGTTATTTTCTTTGTACATAATGTGAATTTTGTAAAGAAAAGCAGGTGCATAAACTACGTAACAAACAGTTTCATTATTATCATGCTCGTCTTATTGCAATAAAGTGTTGCTAATAGAGAAATAATAATAATTAATAATCTTCATAAAAACGAAATGTTCTCTTCTATGTTTGAATTAAAATATATAAACGTTAGTGTGCGTAGACTTAAAGTATTCTAGTTTTATAACTGCACCTTTTTCACAGGAGTATATCTATATATGTAATTATAACTGCACCTTTTTCACAAGAGTATATCTATATATGTAAATGCATGTAAACTTTTTTTTGTATACTATCGAAAAACACAGTGTGTTTAAATAAAACACAGTTTTAATTTTGAAAACTTGATGTTTATTGTCACGAAATTCTATAATCTGCGGTTTTAAAATGCCAGATGAAAGACGAGAAAAACCTGCCATTAAAAAATATGAGATTAACATATCTGGACAACTGACCTGAAATTTAGTTTATG